GCCGCGGTCACGGGATGAACGCTTTGTCTAACAAAGGCATGGAATAATTCTATAGCTCTCCTTAAAAAGGAAATAGTTGTAACACGCGACAGTAAACATTCCAACGGTCTCTGTCCCGTAGCTCGCCACACGCAGACCCTATTCTTCGAGTAAGATGATTGCCGGACGTCGATGCGTGTCCGCAGTACATGTTCAGCTAGCTAGTAGTCTAGTCAACTAAAGTCCTTCAAACAGACAAACAGTCTTTGTCCCAACTACGGGAAAATAGGGAAGACCTATTTTTCAACGAGCGGCGTCTCCCACTAGCAACTTGCCCTCGAGGGCGGCTAGCATCTTTTTCTAACCACCGTTATGGAGATTGACCAATTAGCAGCAACGCCGATTTCCCTTACTTTCTGAACGAAGGCTTTTCTCGAACGAACGAATCCGATGATCTCGTGTCCTTAGACACACCCCAATATAGTTTTCCTCTGTGGCATCATCGGGACGGGAAAGTCATTCTCGCGATCTCATCGATGAAAGGAGTAACCCTTTACGACCAGTGAATATTACGCGTCCGACTTAGATTTTGTGAGTACGTTCATCTATCATCGCGTCGACCGCGGATTCGTTATTGAACCTAGGATCATTGTCATTAGTTTCTCGAGTACCTAACTACCACGGTTACTTGTCCGGTTCTATAATAATCGTATTTGCACTAGTCAATGTCTTCTCTATTGCATAACGACAACGTGTAACCCAAACGAAGATTCGTTTCACGCCCCTAACCCTAATTCTACTGTAAACCCGACACATATATATATATCAATCACAATTTCAGGGCGAAATCTTCAATGAAATGTTCAAGAAAGGATTCCAGGAAAGTTTATGATGAATCAACAAATACAGAATGTGCCTGTGAAGTGTGTGGAAAACAATGGCCAGCAAAGAAACATTTATGGCAACATTTAATTCGTTTCCATCGAGCGGAAGCAGCAGTCACTTGTGGAGTATGTTTGAAACTTTGTAAAGATTATGATGATTTGGCAGAACATTTGAAAGCTGCACACGAAGCGATATTATCAACTGAAGGAAATAATTTTACATGTAAAGTTTGTGGCAGGTATTGTATGCTTAGTTCTGTACTTGTACATAGTATTGTAATATACATGATATATAATCGGGAATTTATGTTTGATAGGTATCACAATGCTCGTAGTAAATTGTTATTACACACAAGTATTCACATCGGCCATCCAGGTACTAGTACTTGGTGTCCAAAATGTCGAAAAAATATTACCGATGAAGCTGCACATTCGACTACGTGTAATACGAAGACGGAAGAGGGAGAACAAATGAAAAATAATGAAAAAACAGAGGTAACTAATTAGAAAAATATAAAATAATATACTTACTATAATTAATGAAAGTATATTTGTATGTTAACGTTTTTACATAAACTCTTATCAAAAGGGAAGTCTAATAGCTGATGATGCGATAATTGAAGAAGTGGAAGAAGGGGATTTCGAATATGAAGCAGAAGAAGAAGCAGATACAGAAGAATCGGATAGTGGTAGTAGTACCGAAGCCGAAGAGGAACATGAATCAGAGGATGAATCTAGAGCTACTGAAGAAATTACTTACAATTCAGAGAGCGAGGATTCAGAAGAACTAGATAATTTAGAAATCGATGAAAAGAACATGGAGCATTATCCTTTAAAACATCCTCCAGATTCCAAAAATGCAGGTATTGAAAGAAACGATGATCAATCTAAAATTAAATAATTTAGTTTATTATAATCGACAACAAGAAAAAGATATCAATCTTGTTAGCGTACATGTTTTAACAATTAATTGAATATATGAAAAGCTAAATATGTTATCGTTATTGCAGAAACAAAGAAACACGATGCAAATTTATCGGATGATGATGGACCTCCTGTTCTCAGTCCCATGATGCCTCTGCTTCCTGAGAATATGTCTGTAGAACAGCCGATAAGTCATAAACTAGGCCCTATAGTGCCTCTAACTGAGAAAGACGTGTGCGATTTATCAGAGATTCGAAATCGATCCTCCCCGAAACCTATGAATCTATATGAAAAACATTTACCTAACAATGAATCTTTAGAGTTAGAATCTGAAACATTTGCAGATCGAAGCGATGAAGATTTTGAGGATACGAAGAACGAATCTGATGAAAACTCCACTGAAGAAAATGAGGAAGAGAATGAGGATAACGAGGAGATTGAGGAGAACGATGAAATAGAATTAAACGAAGATCTAGAAGAACCTGGAGATAACGAGGAAATCGAGAAAAATGGGGACAGTGAACAGATTGAAGATAACGAAGAGAATGAAGAAAACGGAGATATTGAAGAAATGGAAGAGAATGAAAGAAACGAAGGGATTGATGAGTCAGAAGAACACGAAGGAAATGAAGAAATTGAAGAGACAGACGAAGAAAATGAGGAGAGAGAGGAAAACATGCAGTTGGATGATCTGGAAGGTGCTGTCCTAATGGTGACTGATGGGAATCAAATATTGATTCAGCAAGGAATAATAGAAGACGAGAATGAGAATTCAAATCAAGAATATGTTTATTCCGCGCTTAGGTACAGTACAGAAGAGGACAGCGACGATGCAAGGAAATGAGTGCCAAATTGAGATTAAATAGCTGGAAGAAATTTACGGCGTGACAGAGTTGTTGAATGTTGTTCGAAGAATGAAGAATACGTGGAAATGAATTCGATGAAAATTAAATATGCTAAAATTGAATTGGACAAAATCTAAAATCTAGTTTTCAAATAGTTAGCGCTAAATAATCTATATGAAATAGATTGTTTGCAAAGTGGAATGTTCCATTTCTGATGGTAAGTGGAAATGACGTGAAATATTAAATGTTTGACCTTTTTTCGAATTATTTGAAGTGCCACAAATTTCCTATGCTTAAATGTTAACGACTTGTACTATAATTAAAAATTAGTAATTATTAATTGGTAATTAAAAATAAAAATATTAGAAACTTAAGAAAATATTTTACAGGTGAATATTTTTTGCATATGCATTGTTAATATAAAAATTATGTATTCCGTTGATAGGACTTTTCTTATTCTTTGATTTTAGTTAATATCGTCGACGAAACATGTCCACGTATTCCTAAAAATTGTCAAAGATAATCGCAATTTGTATTACTTTACTCTGTATAAAAGATACAAATGAATTATTATGTGACGTGTACCTTGGAATTCATATTGATGACGCGATAATTTGTAAATATATTAGATTAAGTGATACAAATAGCTTTCGCAAACTGTATGATAAGGGACTGTTCTTTCGTTGTGTCAAGCAAATGTAAAGAAAGGTAAGATTAAAACAAAAAGAGTGAGCTTAATCCCTTACGTAACGCTATGAATTTAAAGTTTATGCAATGAATATAAAGAATTTCAAGCGTATCGAAAGTGACTATATAAGCTAATACTTCTATAATAAATGAACAGTCCCTGATCTCTCCTAGACAACGTTTTCGTCGTATTTAAGTTTCGAACTTACAGACGCAATAAATCGGAGACTCAACTTTGATTTAATATTAGGTAATTCGATCGGTATCGATATTTCGCACACAACACGTTCAAAATTTTTCCTTATTTAATAAATCTTCAAATAAAAAAAAAAAAAATAGTACAAACGTAGCAATATACAGAGTATCTATGATAATATAATATAATATAATATATATATATATATCTATATATATATGAATATATATATACATATATATATATATATATACATATAATTAACATTATTCAAAGTATAAAACGGTTTAAAATATATTAAATTATAACTATTTTTTTATTGAATGTTCGATTTTTTTAATAACTTGAAGAACATTGCTTGAACCTGAATGTTCGTTTCGAATATATACTACCGTATTTGTTATATTGTTGCACACGTCTATGTTAATATTATACTACTATTATTATTACCCTCATTCTTATTATTATATTAATACTATTATCATTTCGGTATTATATTAATATCGATTCGATTGAATCTACCTTGAATCTGCAAGCAAAATTTCGAAAATTGATGGGTTAAGGAATCGAAACAACTTAGTGTACATAGTAGGCATGTAAGCGATTTCGTGTACAGTTACGTTATACAATACGAAAGAAAACATATTGATATGTGTGCATGAGCAAAGTATGATTATCATGTGATAGAATGGAAAGGCCAGCTTCATTACTCTTTTTACCATCGTATGCGTTAAAATACCGAAGGAGGAACTGGTAATCAATCACTTCTATTTTCCAACAAAGCTGTACAATAGTATATATCAACGAAAGAAAAACCTCGATAATAATCATCGAGTAAACATTTTTCTAAATGTACTAAACATCTTACTGCACTTATCCGATACATATTCGTTCAGTTTCTCTAGAAAGACGCCGTTCCGTTACACCTTAGCAGCCTTAGTGTTCGTATGTAGTTTAGGATAGTGAACGACATTAATTTCGTTTGAATTATTCATTACTCCAGTGTCATCGATAACATCCATTAAAATGGTAGCAAAGTAAAAACGCTGTTTCCCATTCTCTATCGGATAGTTCTCGGTGATACATTCCTTAATTCATGTTTAATATTCTTTCTTTTCTTCTTTTTCTATGTTCTTGTTTCGTTTGTTATTTATTCGGGGCATTCGCTTCCTTTCCAGCGTGTTAGTGCATAAGAAATGAGAATGGCGATTCGCATTTAACGTTTGTAACGATTATAATAAAAATTACTAAGTTGATTAATTTCCTATTTTTATTTCAATCCCGAAAAAGACATAAAAATAATAGTCTGAATTACTAATCTTATATTATATGAAGTATCTTTTCAAATATAAAAGTATATGCATAACTTAAAATTGTATCGTTCCTTGAAATTATAGTTCAGCAAACGTTATGTGTTGTAGCAGATAGATGGATACAGTTCTGGCGCACGATATTGATCGTGAGACAAAATTCAGAAATATTGAAAAGAGTTTGATGACTCGTATTATATATATATATATATATATATATATCCTGATGAGTAATATCTAGTGAGTAATAATATCTAACACGTATTTCTTCTTATTTTTCCAATGTTGATCAACATTCATTTTTTCTACTTTTACATCGATGTAAATGTAATACAACGTACAGTGACGCAACTATCACTAATAAATAAAATAATAGAATTAAATAAAGTATTCTTTTACAAAGAAAAAAATTATTGTAAATTATGTGTAGAATAAAGGTACGTGCCGCCTGCCCCCCCCCCTATTTACATTGAAAAAATCTTTTACAAGATAAGATAAGAAGACGTATAAACACCTATGTAAAAAAGAATAACCAACGTCCGTTATAATTTTTGTAAATATTTTAATAAGAAACAATTTCTTTTCTGATATAGATTCCCGATTATGAATTATATTAACGAATTAATTATTTTATAGTTTTTACGTAAAATTATCTATAATAAATCTACTGGCCTCTTTTATCAGCATATTCATAAAATATACATTAATTCACAAATATCAATTGCTATTCTATTTTACAATTCAAAAAAATTGGATAAATCAATGGAAAATTATATTTACGTCTATAATTAAGTTTTTTTAAATTAGTCGATACTTCTTGTATTAAGAAGAACGCCTTGTAAATAATGCATTTTTTCAATAATTTTTTTTAATAACTTTCTTCAAAACAGCAAAGATTTTACTATTTATATTTAGATTTATCCTTATTCGAAGTAGTCAAGCTGTACTTGGAGCAGAAAGCACGACGAGAAACGGTATCGATTGAAATTGTGTAAAAAGATATTAATTAATTTGTTAAACGAGTAATTGTATAATGTGCAAAATATTTGAAATATGCAAAAACAGCCTGTAAATCACACTGATGATGTTGGACGAAGCAAAGAGTGTTCTTTCGAAGGCCTTCGGAGCGTGGCTCGGAGCAAAAGAAGGAGGAGGGTTTCAAGAAATCGGACGATTGCTTTATTAAGACGTCAGAAGGTACAGGATAGGCCGGGCCTGCGGTCGTTATTGCCTCGACCGGGTTCTCGCTTGGGACAATTGCTTCGAGAAGATCAAAAAGACCATCGAGAGAAACTGACAGCAAGAAGGAAAGGGAGAAAAAAGGCCGAGAGAGGGAGAGGCAAACAGAGGCAGAAAACGAGAGGGACGGATAGAGAAGAAAAACCGTCATGCCGAACCTTCGTGCGCTGCTCTCAAAGTTAAAATATTGTTCAGAGTTTGTTCTTTCTAGACATTGTAATGTATTCCACCGCAATTACACATCCACACTAATCATGAATATAGGCATGTGTTTAGTAGGTCTCGATCTGATACTTGTTATGCTTGTTCAGTCGACAAGTTGTTCCTACGTCATAAATAGACTACGGTCTATTATATCGATTTACAACATATTCTTTTTTTATCAACATAACCAACGAAACTGAACTCTTACACATTAAATATTGTAAAAAAGATATACTTCACTTTGAGTATTTTTTATATTTTTTAGGATAATGGAGTCTTTCCTAAACATTTTTTTAACGAATATCTCATACATCCTTACGTTAAGTTTGCGAGAAAGAAAGTAAAACGATGATTTTTTTAATTTCACGCCAAATATCAAATTTTGTAAATTTGTTAGCTACTTGTGCCCCGAATTGTGCTCCCGTTTATTATATAGCAAATTAAAGTGCCTAGATTTTCAATTAGATTCAATGTTGTTACCAAAGTATTTACATAGGACGAAGTAACTAACATTCGCTTGTTCAGATAAATTTATATCATCCTGTTACGCGAGCTATCGTTCTCGTATCTCCGTTTTATATCAGACGATCTATTTCCTCCATTCTAGCATAAATCGTCCGTGCCGCATCAGAATTTCCTGATCTACATCTCCCATCGTATGCCCTGAATTACAGGAAGTTGATTTCGATGGCTATCTTACTTTGATCAGACTGAAATTTCAATCCTCGTAATTCACGTCGGAGCACGTTGTCATGAATTTCTTCTGATTCGCCTGTATCGAGTGCCATAAAAAAGAGAACGAGCAAACAAATTGACGAACAGATTGAGAACCGAGTAGGATTTTTTACCTCGTTCGGCAAAACTTACGAGGGTATTGATAGAGAACATCGATCCTGAGTAAACGAAAACGGAATCGTTTAATTATGATATCCTAAGTAAACTGAGACACGCGCGCCTCTTGCTGACTCGTTAATCCAAGAACAAATATCATCTCGTTTAATCTCCTCGTCCACTTAACATTTTACACTTCAATTAAAAAGATAACGCACGAAACAGTCCCTCGTACAGAGAAACCTACAAAATATGTGCATGAATAACAATTTGTTTGTTCTTATCCAATATTAAAATCATGCGAAGAAATAAGGGCAAGAAATACAGTTTTCATAATTTCATATATAATTTAATAACACGTAATAGGCAGAATGTCGTCGTATCGTGTTCCGCGATTTCGTTTCCTCCTGGGCTCCTTCTCTCTCTCTCTCTCTCTCTCTCTCTCTCCCTCCCCCCTCTCCCTCCCTCCCTCCCTCC